TATAATGTATGATACAATTCCTTGACATCCCTTTAGGAGTTCTATTTTAACAGGTTTCTCTACATACATACGTATACGTATACATATATATATATATGGTGCCAGATCAATTTATTTATTTTTGACAAATCTGCCTAATACTTTTGCAGAAAACGGAGATACTTCCAGTGAATGATTTGGGTATTGCATTACACGATTTTGTGGACAAGGATGAGAAAATGGCATTCTATTCTTGTGTGAAATACAATCTTGATGAAACACGAGTGAGCATTCTGTATTACATTTATCTTCCATGTGTCTGGTCTGTGCCATTCAACCTTGGAACATCCTCCCATTATGTATTATATTATTTTGGGCTTGGCGACAAGGAATCTGCTTCTTATTATTAGTGTTCCTGCACACATTGTGTATTGCATATATGTCTCTTGTCCTTTCTCTTCTCCTTGTCAGAGACATTGATGACTTACTCTTTTACTTATACAGAACAAAATTGCTAAGGATTTTGATACCGTGAAGTTTGAAGAGGAAGATTTGATTGTTAAAGTTGGAGAGTGCATGGAGGTTGGAAGATTCATTGTTTTCTTTTTCTTTTCAATTTAAGGATTAAGTTGTCTCTAAATCCAATATGGTTTTGTGGACACTGGACAGTAGTTCACTTTGGTTTTGTGGAGTAGCCTTTACAGCTACTGTGGCTTCTCACCATGGTTTCAGTACATTGACATATGTAACATAGTTCTTGTGACTGACTTTATTAATGCTCTTCCTCATTTTTTGCTTCAGGAACGTGTCAAGGAGAGATCTATCCGTGGCAAGGATCCTACACAGTTTACTGATAGTGCTCAACCATTGGAGGTAATCTCAACATTGGATATGGGACCCAGTATTTCAGTCGTGATGATAATGTTTTTAGGTGCCAATGTTTGCCATCACTTGTATTCTTAGCTTCTCGTTTTAACTTTATATAGGAATTCCAAAGCAGAAGTGCTGCTGGTTTGGGAAATGCAATTTCTTTTAGCGATGAGGAAGATACCATGCAGATATCTGGCTCAAAGCCAAGCACTAGAGGTCGTAAAGGGTCCTCTGGACCATCTCAAACTCCTTCAAGAGGGAGAGCCAGGGGCAGGGGCAGGGGCAGGGGCTCCAGCACCATGAAGCAAACGACTCTTGATGCATCATTAGGGTTTCGCCCGTCTCAGAGGTTTTTTTTATTATTGATGGATAATTTTTTTGAAGTCTTTTTGATTCTTTGCAACAGAGTAAATTCAAAGGAGACATGGATATCGATCAATACAAGTCTTAGGGGTTTTCATGTGTCCCTGTTGTGGCATGTATATCTACCAGTTTGTAAGGGCGTATATGATACTCGACAACAACAAGAAGAAGAACAAGCCCTACCCCACTAGGCAGGGTTGGCTACTTGGATTGCATATATGATACTCAAGCATGACAAAAAATTGATAGCACCGGATAGATACATGATTGGGCATGAAGTCTTCCTGGATATCTATATTCTAGTATTTTAGGATGATCAGGCGTCTGTTCTCGTCAACCATTTGCTTTTGCGGTACCTGAGGCTTTGTTGTTAATGCAGGTTGGCATCAAAGAGTGTTGCTGAGAATGATTCTGCTTCTAGTGAAGATGCTGGAAAACATGAAGTAGAAGAGATTGATGACAGTTCGGTAGGGGCCAACTCCACTTCTTTTTCATTGAATTACTCCCCTCAATTCTAAATTTCAAAGTCTCTTTGATTCCTTATGTGCCAGTCCAATACTTGTGATCTGACAATTTTGTGAGCCTTATGCGATGGTTCGTCTTTGAAACATAATATGGTTAATATGTACTTTATATTTTATTGTGAAGGAAAATGAAGGAGAGATCCCAGGAAGGAAAAGAGCTGCTTCAAAAGGACGAGCTAGAGGGTCTAATCGAGCTTCTAAAAGAGGAAGAAAATCAGATAACTCATCAATCCATAAAATGTTCATGAACAATGATGATGACGACGACGACGACGATGAAGACAATGTCAGGAAGAAATTAAGTAACTTACCTCGGGTTCGTATTTTCTTTTTTTAATATAGTTTCTTGATTTCTTTCCTGTCAATTTTATATTGCCATCATACCATCCTTTTCAAAATTTTTGTTTCACTTTCTTGCTTTCCTTTGTTTCACCATTTCCCTTCACGGGTGTTGCTCCAATGTGGTTTCTGACTCATTGACTTTATAACTACTCTTGTATGCTACCGACGGTATTTGTAGGTTGGATCAAGTGGAATTAGTGTTTGAAAGGCAAGGATCACGATTTTTATGCCAACTGACAAGTCTCTCAATATCTTGATTTTTTTTTTTTGGATAAAAATATCTCGATATTATTATCGCTGTCCATGTCAAAATTGAAAATATTGAGCGTAAAATAATTTCTGCTGTTATCCATGCAATGTACTGCACTTCTACTGTGGGGATACCTGCTTATTGTTTGGGAACAGGGAAGTTTAATTTTGGTGGAAGAGCCGTCTCTTGGAATGATTTTTCATTCTTATTTAATTTGGTTTAGCTTACAGTACAGTCTCATTTCATGCCATCTTATTTTGCAGAAAATGCCATCTTATTTTGCAGAAAATGTTAATACCAAGTGTAATTCTAGCAAGATTTAGACGCAGTTTTTTTACTGCAAAAAGATTTCATTCAAAAAGTCAACTGTATGTCAGAGCGATCTGTTAAACAGAGTTAAATGCAGTTTTTGATTAAAAAAGAAAAATGCAGTTACTGTGACTGTTAATGGGAAAAGATTCCGTTGGCCCTTGGCTTTGATCTATCGTCGTTCGTGTTAAGAGCATGATACTAACTTTTTTTTTTTTTTTTCCATTCTTCTTTCTTTGTTTTTTTTTTTGGGTTACATTAAAATATGATGCTTTCTTGAGAACTCACAGTTTCATCTTTTTACCGTGGAGATGACAGCTTTTGTTCTTGCAGGTAACAAAAAACTACGGAGCTTTAAGAAGGTGAAAATCAGGTGACTATTTCCCAAAGGTCATGCTGGCTTTGTAGTCACAGTGTTAATTATAATTATCGATAAATTACCTTGTAAAAAATTTTTGAAAATGTTTATCCTGGTTTGGAAAATAATGTGATGTGACATCAAGGGGTGCAAGGGTTCAGCACGGTTGGATTCATGAACCGTGGCACTCGAGGGTTCCCTGAATATTCTCTCCCCTCTTCATGAGATTTATTAGGAAAAAATATCAATCAATAACCACTAAAATTGTTGGAGTAAATTTATATCAATTAAAGATTATTTATTGTCAAAATTCAAATGGATGCTTGTTGATTCAAGTTAGTCTTTTATCAATAAGTATTTATTCTTAATTTAACAACTCATTTTAAATTAATAATAATTTATTCAGGCTTATTTTCTGTTTAAGTTTTAACAACAACTTGTCTTTAATTAATATAAATTTGTTCTAATGATTCTTAATTGCAATTTTCCCATTTATTAGTGGTTCTTGCTCTAGGAACATTTATATTGTTAGAATTTGAATGCATGATTTTTTTTTTCTCATGTTCAAATGTTTTATTGTTTTTTTTTGGTAACTTCATTAAAGTTTCAATTTGTTTTTGGTTTAGAAGTTGACAATTTCATCCTTATATCATTTTTAGAGGATTTTTTTTTTTGAATTTGCATCAATTTCACAATAATTGTTTTGAAACAACTCTTGATTCATACGAGGTTTTTGTTAGATAAATTATCAAGTTACATGACAAATTAGTCCTAAACTAGAGATCTAGAAGTGAGATTTTAAATTTATTTTTGCTTTAATTTTCCTTTTCATTATATAATTATCCTACTATTAATAGATATTAATTTCAACTGTTAATTAATTAAAAATTATTTAAAAAACTTCAAAGTTACAACAAAAGATCAATAAAATTTTCTTTTTTTTTTAAACTTTTCAGGATCTCGTCTATAATTTTTTTATTTTTATCTTTTTAAATTTTTAAAATGCTTTTTTTAATTTTTTAGTCAATTAACAATTTAAAATTTTTTTTGTTAATAATAAGGGTAACATTGTTGGAAAAGAATATTGCACTGTAAATGAGTTTAAAATTTCTAACATCTATGAACTTATAATTCTAGAGTTAATTTCCCAATTAACCCCAAGTTATTTTAGTTTCTTAGATTATGTGCAACTTATACCAGATTTTATGAATATATCATATGCACCCTCAAATTTTCTTAATATCTTTATATTTAATAAAAAGATAAATTCATTATTTATAAATAATTAAAATAAACAATAAATAAAGGAATAACTATTTGTTATTTTAGTTTTATATGAAATATTAATTTAAATGGGATAGATAGAGACAAAATTGAACACTTTTAAAATTATAAAAAATTAATCACACTTGCATTTAAAATTAAAATAGACCAAAATCTATATACTAGTATAATATATTTTTGATTCAGAGTACTTCTATCATGAGCTCTGGCCTGACTATCTTCATTCAATAGTTTCATTCCACCCAACTTTCACAACCAGGTCCACAAGTTCTTGTGAACTTACATGCGAGATATTCCGAACTTTAGTAAGATTCTTATATTTATAATTTATTCCCCTCCCTCCCTTTCTTTTTCAAAAGTATACTTATCCTTCTTCCAACTATGATACTTGATACCCTTTGAAGAATATAGGGAGAAAGATATGTTCTAAGGACCAATTAATTCAAATTGATTCTCAACCGAATTGTAAATTTAATTCTCAATTTTACAACTTTATTATAATAAATTTGTAATTTGTGTTTCAAATTTTAATTGAAAAATAATTTTCAACCATGTTAAAATTTTAAAAATAAATTATAAATTTATCACAATAAAATTATAAAATTAAAAGTTAAACTTAAAAATCTCTGAAATTTGGTACTTTGAAATTGGTTGGAACTTTTTTTTTGTCATTTTCCCAAGAACATGTGTGCTCTTAATGGCTAATATGAGCGACCGCGCATTGTGAAGGGTTTGTAAAATGGGCTTGAAAAGCAACCCAAGAAAAGTGTCCATTTACAAACGTGCACGTTCAATACGGTGGAGCGACCAAAAAAAAAAAAAAGAATTGTGGAGACGTACTCATATTGCACCATACGCAGGGTCATAGTATGTAGCTCTAACCTTATCTAAAGTAGATCCTTCTGGACAGATGGGTAGCATTTTTAGCATCATGCGCAGCCTTTCCCTGAAACAACATTTGGATAAGACTTTAAAAACATACGGTGACAAAAATGGGAAAGACCAACTTAAAAACTCCCCCCCCCCCAAAAGAAAAAATAAATCAGAATGCGCCAATTCTGCCGGCAAAATATTGTCACAAAATTTTCCATCAAAGAACTATAGCATAGAGAAATTGTATGGGAATTCCTTGACGAAAAGGCAACAAGAAAATCAAACGTATTTCACTTTATTCTTGAGCCCGGACTCAGACAATAATATCTCTAACGAAATGATAAAGGATAACACTGCATCCAAATGAAAAAACTGATATGCAAGAGACAATTTAATAGATGACCTATGCCTTTCACACTTGAACTTAGCTTAAGTTGGAGGAGAAACAAATAGAGGGGCAAACTAAAAATTATGAAAAATTAAAATAAGATCTACGTAGCAGTTATACTACACCGTTATGCCGTTACGCCCATAGAGCTCAGCATCACGCTAAACAGCATATCCAAACTCCAAAAACAAAATTCTAGTACCCATTGAATGGGGAACAATGTAGGGAATAAAAAATCAATACATTCTACTAATATCCTACAAGACGAGGAAAGTTAAGCTATATGTCACTAACCTTTCGACATCGCCTGAATCTTCCTATTAGTTAAAAGAAGAAAGCATTGCAATTGTAAGATGGGCATTTAGGATCTTTCAACTACTAGTTCATCAAGGGTTTACTTACACTACATTACCTTTCAAGATCGCATGAACCTTCAATATAATTTCTTTGAAGTTCATTATGAATTAAATATTATACACCTTGTTAGATCACAAAAGTTTGATATTGGATGATTTTATTAAAGCAAAAGAATAGAGAACTTAAAACCTGCATTTGCAAAGCAGCTAATCCTGCTCTGGTACTCTTCTGCAGAATGTTGCGTTCTGTGATTCTCTGGTCTGTGGGCGGCCCCCCAGCAGGCACATCTCTTGTACTGCTTTTTCGATGTACTGCTACATAACTTGCAGAACTTGCGGTGTTCTCATTTCTCTCGCCAGCTAAACCATTAAGCTTGCCATTTTCCACTTGCTCCATTGTAGCACTAGCAGAAGAATTTTGTTTATTGGCAGCTAATCGAGCCCTTGAACGTACAATCTGACGGTGGAACTGCAAAAAGATACGTCTAAATTCTAGCTTAATTTGAAGATTATTAGGAAAGAAATTGTCACTGATTCACCAAAAAACTTTCAAAGAAAACAGAAGAAAAGAATCCTGATGAAGCAGATTTAGGTCATGCTATTGGTAGTTTGTGCTGCAAAAAGAAGGCATCAGAATTGACCTACCAAAGAGCCAGCTATAGCGGCTCAGGCAAAGAATTGCTTTGAAATAACATTAAAATATGGATGGCGAAGGGCAGTGCAGCTTTTCAGTTCTCACCAATGATTTTGTAGCTTTATGGCAACTTGGCTTCGCAAATTCAACTGCAGTTCCCAATCTGTCAAGCAGTTTCGGTTCCTCAATATGAACAGTAGATTTCCTGGATATGTTGGGAAGCTTGTATCTGCTCCTAGATTCAGGATTCAGAAAGGCCACCTCTTTCCCATCTGGAACAGTGTTTGAACATGAGCCAACACTAGACTTTCCATGAGATGATTTACGTGCCCTTGATTTCTTGCTATCACCATTAATATCCACTCTTGATGCTTTTTCCACAGCACAGCTTTTCCTAACGCTAGTACTATTCCTGAAAGAAAGTTGGCTTTTCTGACCATATGGTTTACTAGATACCTCCGTCAAGTTCTCCTGTCGCTGAGTATACTCAGATGTAACTGTACTTCTTGAATTACTCCCACCGGTCTTATTTTCCATGGAACCTGGCCTATTCACTAGGCTCCTACGAGTAGCCATGGACTTGGTACAATTCGATAAGGTTTTCCTACTTGCATTGCATTCAGAAACCAATCCCAATTTTGCACTTGACGTTCCTTTTGACTTGATCTCATAGGCTTTGGATTTCACTTCCGGACCAAAGCCAGAGACTTTCTGGAAGCATCTCCTGCTAAAACCCATAGCTGGAAGCTGCTTGTCAAACAAAACATCCAGATTAATCCCCCACTTCATGCTCCCATAGTGTTTTCCTCTTGATCTCGAGACTGAAGATGGATGCTCTGGCGAAGGTGGTCCTTGTGAGTCAAGTTCTGATGCCACTATCTCCTCACCAGATTTAGAAAATTTAGATTTTAACTGATGTGAAGACCACTGGTGGAACCTGAAAATGAGCAGATACCAATATTGTAGTCAAACAACGTTTCATAAACTAATGCGTGCCATGCTAAACGTGGAAAAAAAGGGGAAGAAGAAGGAAATTTACAGGTGGCTTTCGCTGAACCAGTCATCATTTCTACAATATAATAAAACATAAATAAAAACAGGTTAGCATCGAATGAATGAAATTTGACAACCTTAGTAAATAAAAGCAACACTTCCTTATTATATCTATACAAGTAGAAAACTCACATGTCTTCACCCCCAGACTTTGCTTCTAAAGTCAGATCCGCCCACATTGGGGCCTCAATATGTTCCTGTATGTCAAGCACCAAAAAGCAACAATGAGCCATGAATTGTGAGACAGAATAGCTATTCAGGAATATCAGACAAGAATATGACGATACGGTGCGAATAATAAGTAGAAATGCTAATAGAAGACGGTTTGGTTAAAGGATGTTGTATAAGTCTCATGCATCCAACATAACTTCATATCTGCCGGAAAATGAACGAAACTAAAAGACGTAACAAGCTGAATCTTCTAGGGTCCACAGAAGATGAAACCAAATTCAATTTTCAACTTGCTTTTCCTTTCACGCATTTCCCTAGCGCTAGCAGCAGAAAAACAAGGGACAGACAATTAGGCAACAAGAGGAGAATCCAACCATTTAGCGTTTCAATCAATAAATGCAAAACCAAATTGATACCTCGAAATGATGATCAAATTGCACAGCAAACAAATTCATCAGCTCTTCCAATTAACCAAAAAAAAAACAACAAAATACAAACTATGGCGATATCGTTCCAAACTAAACATGTCAGAAGAGAACTAAAATTATGAAGGCGTAACGATTTTCTGTTAGGTAAAGAACAGAGATGATATCAAGATGGTAGCATAACAAAATGGCAATCAACGAAGACAAAATCTCAGATGTCTACTAATCCTAAAAAGATCCAGGCGAATCAAGGGATTAAACAAGTAAACCAAATCCTTGAGAAAAACTATAATGATCAAGGGATTACCAGGAAAGCCCAGTGATCATCCGCCCTCTTGATTACTATTTCTTTCTTTGAAGTTTCCATGACCTAACGATTCTTCGAAACTGGTTCGAATCTTCTTGCCGATTCAGAAATTTTAATGCTTCAGTGAGAGCTCAAGAGACAGTCTCAACATCCTCTAAACTATACTTGGTTTACTCCCTGCTCTTCTGCGGAAGGGAGCATGGCGCAGTGTCGACTGTCGAGGAAACAAAACGACACTTGAGCATTGTGGTGCGGAGGGAATTTGTGGAAAAGTTTATCAGCCGTTGGATGTGGGGATATTGTGATCTGTATCGTTTTTGGATGGTTAAGATTGAATGCGTTTTTATATTTAAATTAATTCGAAGTGGAAATGCTATTACTGGAAAATGAAACGGAGACAGCTTACCGTTGGAGTTGGGTTAAGACAGAACATTGAAATTGTAGATACTAATCATAGATATATTTTTCTTCACCACTTTTTCAGGTCATTTTTTGTTTTTCCTTTAATTATAAGTAATCATTTTACATGACTTTGGCTTGATGAGGTACTTATATTTTTTATTATTTAATATACCATTACTTGTATCTGTTTATAAACTATTATCTTTGTAAGGGAAAGATTGATTAAAGGCCATTTGAAGGCACTGTTTTTCAAAGTATCAAAACATTCTGAAATCTTGGCCCAAAAAAAAAAAAATACGTTTTCGAATTACTTTCCAATACGCGAAAGTTAAAATAAAACTAAGTTTGCGTGTAGTATGACAAAAATACATTTTGCTGATTTTTTTTTTTTAAAGTCTACCCTTCTATTATTATTTACTTTGAGATTGACCCAAAAAAATCTTTTAAGGTGATCAACAAGGTTTGAATCGATTGAATCCACGATCCATTTGTAACTCTTAAACCATTAAATAAACAATATCAACTTTATCATGTTAGAATTCTTAACAAAAATATTAAATTTAGTAATAATATCTAAAATAAATATCTATCAAGTTCAAATGGAATCATAGATCTAAAAATATTTATTTACAAAGTAAAAAAAATAGAAACGAAAGAGTAGAACAGGGATGTATTTTTTAATTTAGCCGTGAAAAAGGATTGATGTTTGCAAATGCTCTCACATCAATATAGATATTTTTTATAAAAATTGTCACTCTTATAAGAAGTAGAGTTAAAAAAGGGCTCCGACTTAGTGTTCGTTTAAATAAACTCGAGTGTTCTTTAAATGGCTCATATCTAAAGCCGCCCTAACATAACAAGTTTAAGACCCTACGAACTTCAAACCCTTTACTTTTTTTTTTAATTGAAAATAGTTCATTTATTCCATTGTAATATCAAACCTTACTCCAATGTCAAATCACATAGACTAAGTAACAATAAGCAAATAAATAAACACAATAAGCTCAAATTACAAGAACCAATAAGCAAATAAATTAAAACAACATATAAATGAACTAGATGTTAGAAATACAATCCCAATCAAAATGATAGCAAGCAATGAAGCAAGGATCAACTGAATCTATCTAGTATCCACCACCAAGAACCACGGACATGAAAATCTTTAAATCAATACACATAAATACTTAAATATTAATGTTGTCTGCTTACTACATCAGTGCATCAAAGTCATAAGAACAAATTACTCACAAATCAAGCAAAACCAAACACTCAAGCAAAATGCAAAATGTTAAGAGAAAAAGCTCAAGCCTATAAGCAATAATAGATGAATGAAGGTTAAGAATACAAAGCACCTTGCAGACTCAATCAAATTTGATCGATCTTTGAAGAGTACAAGTGAGCTTGGAGACTCAGTTGAAGGAAATTAATATCTGATATGTATGAGCACATCGCAGACTTAGTTGGATTGGTCGAAGGAGAGGGCTTCATGAACTTAGAGACTTGTAGACTTGATGAATGAAAACTCTAATGAATGAAACTTGGAGACTTGTAGACTCAATAGCTTCAAACAACACCGATGTCAGAGACTCATAGCTAGCAAAGTGAAGGTGGGGAATGACTAGTGAGCGTTGGTCATTGAATTGAGCGTCAATGAGGAAGTGATTGATGCAGCATTGGTCGTCGTTGAAGATAGATCTAGAGACTAGAGTGGGCAAGTGGGGTGAGACAATCAGTGTCTCAATGACTATGAGCTAAGTTTAAATTTGATTATCTGAAGGGTGAAGTCGTGAAGGAGAAGACTAAAAAAATCACGTGACTGAAATGAATAATTAAGGTTAACTTTTTTTCCCTTCCCTTCTTCAGAAAATATGGGCTCCAACTTACATAATACATATACAGTTTGGAAGTTTTGCCTTTGTTCAACTAGGTAAAGTCCACATAAGACAGGTACATGATGAAAAAATATATATTACACAGGAGATTGGGGCTTAAATGAACTAGCCTGTTTGAAACCATTTACCCCTAAGGGTCCTAACTGCAAGCTCAACTCTCTAATTACATGAGCTTAAACGGGTCTGTTAGTGAGCTGGGCTTATTTTTTCAGCTTTAAAAAAAATATGATGGTTGATGAAGAATTGTTTAATAGTTTATATATATATATATATATAATATATTTTGTGTATCCTTCTCATTCAAAAAGAGAGAGAAGAATAGGAAAATTAATATAGGGCGCAACAATGATTCGCATATCTTCTAAATGGCATAAATTACAGTGTCATTGAAAATTTAGAATTAGAAGTGCTAGGGAAAATTGTCGAAGCCTTTTCTTAGGACACTATTAGTATACAAGCAATTGCGGGGATAGCTCAGTTGGAGAGCGTCAGACGGAAGATCTGAAGGTCGCGTGTTCGATCCACGCTCACCGCAATTCCAATACTTTTCTTTCGTTTTTCGGCGGCCCAAGGCCCACATTAGCATTTTTGCAGAGATAAATGGGATAAAAAGATAGGAGCTAGAGATACTTCAAATCCTTGCAAGCCTTCTCATTGGTCGCACTAGACAACGCCGTCCCCACCACAACTCCCTCCCTCCCCTCTTCTTCACCACAAATCTCTCCGATTCTCTTCACGACCCATTCTTATAATATCTTCCGCTTCAGCCATCAAGGTCTCAACTTTGGTGCCTTCCAGAAGAGAAAGCTTGCACGTCATGGCATCCACGTTCATGGCAGCCTCAGCAAGCTCTAGCACTGTTCTTAAACTTCCCCTTTTCTGGTCAAACCAGATCATCCATCTCCAACTCTCTCAGAGATGTTGTCCCTCTCGGAAATGGCAAATACACCATGGTAATATAATTTCATCAGGTCTTACAGAAAATGACGCAATATATATCAGTATTTGAGGTTCTGGTTTGTGGTTTGTAAGCAGGGAAATGAGTTGTGGTATGGACGGCGGACCGAGTGAAATACTTGGGGTCCCCTTTCAGCTCAACCCTTCATACTTGACTGGGGAATTCCCTGGAGATT